GGCCAAGGCTCATGTTCTGTACGGATGGTATGAGAGTTCGTGGGGTGTGACAGTTGTCTTGCACAAACAAAATGGTTTCATTCCGTTTCCGACTACTGGGCCTAAGTATGTCAATTTATCGTGGTTCAACTACTTCGGCTATTCGCGTTAAGGGTTTTATTCCTAGACACTGTACAGGAGGATCATGCAAATTAGTGCACCATTGTGTTCAGATGTAATAATAATGTCCACTTCAATGGATGCATACGCTCCTTGTCTTCATTTACCTTGTTTGCAATTGCAAAAGCATCATACACTTTCTGGACGCCGTTCACAGATATCACCATATCGTCTCTTTTTCCCCGTGCACTTTGGCATTCACAAGTTGCTTAACGACCTGCTATCAGTTGCATTCGGCCTCGGTACTCTAGAACTGAAAGCCTAAATGCCTGAAGTTATGTCAGACATGAATATTGCTTGCACCGGGATTGCATGGTGTCCTTTTATTCACTTAACAGTACATCTTTTTCATGTTATGGTGTAAGCATGTCTACACGAAACTCGGGTTAGACACAGATACCGGAAATTTAGTGCCGGGAGTCGTCCTGACTAGTAAAATGTACCGTACGGCTTCACTAAATCTGCGGGCGAACTTGTTGCGTAACCAAAATGTGTACAATCGCGACGGCCCTGGATATACAAACCGCTCACTGCAGCGGACACTGGTTACTTGTGCTGACAGGGCCGCTTATGGGTCTAACAGGTTGGTTAAAAACCCGCAAGGGTTTCCGAATGCTGTGGATGATCCGCAGGTAATTTGGTATTATAACGAATGAAATGTTTGTTATATTGTTCTCAGCCTTCGTCAGGCCATACTTGGAGTGCTGCGTGCAGGCCTGTCCTCCATGCTTGGTACGCGATAAGTTGACAGTTGAACGAGTTCTGAGGGTTGGTACAATAATGGCACAAGGATTGAGGCATCTCTCGTATCCCGATAGGCTGCTCAGGTTGCAGAGTTTTTCGCTGCACTATAGGCGCCTTCGGGGAGACCTGATTCTTACGTACCGTATATTGACCGACAAGATTGGGCCTGAGCTAACTGCACTGTTCCAGCCGGCTCAGATGCCATCTCTTCGTGGTCACCCTCTGAAGTTGCATAAGCCTGGATCTGATCACGTTAGGGCTGACGTTTGTTGGTCACGCAGGGTCATCGACTAATGGAACGCACTACACAGCGAAGTAGTATTAGCACCAACGGTGAAGGAGATTGAACATCGACGCGACGCTCTTGGGTTACAGTTTCAGACCTTTCCTTTTGCTACTTACCTTCTACATCTGTTTCCTTGGCTTCTCACATCTATTACTATTATTGTCTTAACCACTCATTCTCTTTTGTACTACAATTACCATTATATTGTTTGCGTTGATTCCGTTCTCTTAAACTTAATTCTATTCACGTTGCCGGTACAGTGGGGACTGATAGTACAGGCCGCCTGGGCATTGATTGGTTGACCGTTATGTGATTCGTGTGTATCGATTTGGCTCCCCTCGGTTTCAAATCCATCCCGCGAACTCTATCCGGGTTCAACGACGCATTGAAGAAGAAAAACACATGGGAATTTTCCTACCGTTCCTGCCTAAATTGAACTAGAACTTGAATACAACGGAAAAGTTGTAATTTTTTACAGTGAGGAGGAGTTAAGTAACAACACAGACGTTTTCCTGCACACTATCGTACAAAATTAGCTCCATGTAAACAGACTATTCTGCGATTGTATCGTCAGTTTGAAACTGTAGACTCCAAAAAGCTAACAGCTGTCTTTCATTTACAATTTAACTGTTGAACGATTGTACATTATTCTTTCTTGTTTTAATCTTCAACCGGCTCGACAATCAACCGCCATGTAGGTTCCTGCGGGGAAGGGCTAATTTTTGTCATGGCGGGAAACGGTTTCGCTACCATTGTCCTCGATAACATCCAAGATAGTTTGAGTGGTTGTAGAGTATATTCCTAATTGTGGTTCTATTAAGGTGTGGGAAATAGCAGATAATGCTATATGGATTTGCTTCGTGAAAACGATTATGATGAATTAAAGCGACGACTACAGGTGTAGTTGAAGTTCACGGCATAATCGAAAGCAGGCAAATGCTAAATACAAGTGAAGTGTGAATGGCTGTTTTATGGAGCAAATATGCGTTAATGCAATTGTTTCATACATGTAAAGGTTATGCTTGCAGTAACTTACTTGCTTGGATAAGGGGTATACATATCTCTTCTCTGAGTATTGTGTTTTTTGAAATCGCGATGAATGAAAGCGAAATTTACAACTAATAAATTATACCAACTACCATTCTTTGTACATACTTAAGCACAAAGCGACCTATACACATCTTTTTCAAATTCAGTTATGTGCTGGAGGACCTACCGTGCGGCTCCATCTACTAGCACCTATGATAGATACCGCGAGGCTAGAAATAGGTGTAAACAACACTTAAGGAAAGCTCGGCTGGTGTACGAAAAGGAATTGGCTGATGGAGCTTCGGAAAATCTCGAAGAAGTTCTTCGCTTATGTTAAGAGACGCTGTGGTTGAACTTCGGTAATCCCAACTTTGATGCGGGCCGATGGAACTCGTGCGTATGCGGACTTAGATAAGGCTCGTGTGCTTGGGGAACAGTATGCAGGGGCTTTTGTACGTGAGGCCGCGTTGGCTAGCGTTGAACTTGTCCCCAGAGTACCTGAGGGTTCTTATTTAGCTGAGTTTACTGTGGTGGAAACGCAAGTCTTTAAACTGCTGCAAGAACTGAACCCTTCCAAAGCAGCTGGACCTGATTCAATTCACCCGAAACTTCTGAATGAGTTGGCGGTGGAACTAAGTGGACCTCTGACGGTGGTGTTTCAGAAGTCACTTGACAGCTGTACATTACCTTCTGAATGGAAGGAGGCTGTCATCTGTCCTATCTTCAAAAATGGCGACAGGAGTCTGTCAGCCAATTATAGGCCAGTTAGTCTGACTAGCGTCGTGGTCAAACTGCTTGAAAAGCTGGTGAGGGATTCGTTGGAATGTCACCTGAATAGATTTAATCTACTCAGTAGTGCACAACATGGATTCCGGAAGGGGTTTTCGCGTTTGACGAATTTGTTGGTTGCTCGTGAATCTTGGGCCGAGGCACTGAACAATGGCCACGTAGTGGACGTGCTTTTCGTAGACTTCTCGAAAGCATTTGATAAGGTACCCCACTTGAGGCTAACACAAAAGCTGAGGTCTTACGGCGTATCTAGTCGCGCCCTTCACCGGGTATCTGCGTTCTTGCAGGAAGAGAGCAGTGTGTAAGTGTGGGTTGCAGCTTATCTTTTAAGCAAGCGGTCCTTAGCGGTGCGCCACAGCCGATGCTGTTCTCCATCTACGTAAACGATCTCTCCTGGAGAGCTTGGGGTATCATCCCTATTGTTTGCTGATGACCTTAAGCTATGGAATGTTTCAAATTTTCCTGGGTGTTCTGAGGCCATACAGCGTGCACTGGACAGACTCTGGGACTGGTCTACTTTGTGGCTACTGCTCATAAATCAGGCTAAGTGTTCCGTCCTTCGTATAGGAGCAAGTTTCCCGCCTTCGAGCTACGTACTCGGTGGGGTCGAACTCCCCGTTGTCTCCAACCAGGTAGACCTAGGTGTCGTTCATTCATCGTCTTTGAATTCTGGTGACAACTGGAAGAAGGCAGCCGGTAGGGGTTTTAGAATGTTGTGGTTAATACGCCGTTCTTTCGGGGTCTTAACTGCCGACATATTTGTGAAGCTGTTCTCAGCTTTCGTCCTGCCCCATCTGG